TTTGGATACAGTGAGGGAAGCAAGCGTGATGGCAGGTTTTGCAACTGAAAAAGCAAATCATTTGAGGTGGTGGTGATGTCTAGAGTGTGCATGAGAGCTTAATTATAGTTTTTTTTTTTTAAATATTTTTTTTAAAAAAAAATATATTAATAATAATTTTTTAATTTTAAAAAAATATTTTTAAAATCAACATATCAAAATAATTTAAAAATATATAAAATATATTAATTAAAAAAAATCAATTTTTTTTAAATTTTTTTTTTTAAAATAGTGTCAAACACGTGTTAAATATGTTGTTAGATATGTTGTGTGATTAAAAGAATTATATTAGACAGTTTCATAAATTAAATCTTTATTTTTAGATTAATTCTGAGTTCTAATTACATTTTTATTTTTATTTTTTTAGAAAATACAAGTCAAATAGTTGAGTTTGATGACGCCTGCTAGAAAAGATGAGGTTATAGTCGTGATCAAACTGACCGAACACCCATGTTAATTAAAAAAAAAAAAAAGAAGGATGGGGTTAATGGTACCGGTACGAATTGTTCTAGTAAATTTTTATTTTTATACAAACTGGTCCCTCGATGTTTAATTTTCTTACGGTAGACCTTGTACTCCAAAGTACAAACTCCACGGTACCTAAAAACAATAATAATGGATGATAATATATATTCATGAGGAAGGTTTTTTTTACACATATTTATATATCTATCCATTAATAATCGGATAAAAAATTTAAAAATTTATATTTTATTATTAAGTTTTGATTTTTCAAGTATTCATATGGATACCTGTTTTATAATTGTTATTTATTACTCAACAAAAAATTAAATAGTAATACACATGTGTGTATGCTATGTCAATATATATCAGTTTAGGTCTGGATTAAGTTCTACAATAATTATATTTTATGCATTATCCATCAAGCAATGTTACCATCCACAAAAATTCTCATTCGCATGGGTTTGAAACAATATCCATCAAGTTCAGATTAAATTCACATCCTTAAAAATAGCATGCTATGCCTCTTAAAATCCCAAGTTTCCAATTTCTCAAACCCTATTTTTCATCTTGCAATTTTCTCACTCACATCACTTTGAATTATCATCCCTCTCTAGAATAACCAATTGAATTATTGCTCCCCCTCTCTCAATTTCTTTGATGCAGACGAAGTAAGTTAAAAGAAAAGATCAGTCAGAAAATTTGTGTTACTGATGACATGTACAGTAAGATGTTTCCACTCAGCGTGGCCATTGCACCATGTTCGGATTAAAATGCATGATTCTATTTCGTATAATTTTGTTATTGAAGGGATGAGTAGATTGAGTTTCAGGCCTGGTTCTGCACTAAACTGCCTTCAGTGTAGTATCCATGGATATGTGGGGCATTGGGACACTGAAGCTACCAGTCTTCGATTTGATTGCTATATTTTTCCTATCAAAAAGGGTTCAAATCTCTCTCTTTGCCACACAAATTGAAGTTGATTGAGTATTTATATTCATGGTTTTATGCTTTTCATGATCTTATTGCAGAGTAATGCATCTGAGACTGTTAAGTTGCTTGTTCACAAAACACCAGCAGCTGAGGAGGAAATCTACCTCCATGCAAAAGCAGGAAAGGTTTTTGAGTTAGCTGCTGATGGTGGCTCCTGAAAAAGTCATATCTCCTTCCTTTTTCCAGAGCATTTGCGTTTTTGAGTAATGCATCTGAGACTGTTGAGTTGCTTGTTCCCAAAACACCAGAAACTGAGGAGGAAATCCACCGCTATGCAAAAACAGGGAAGGTTTTTGAGTTAGCAGCTGATGGTGGCTCGTGAGAAAGTCCTATCTCCTTCCTTTTTCCAGAGCATTTGCGTTTTTGTTTTTGTTTTTATCTTGCTGGAAGCATGAATCTCCGTGAATTCATTACATCTGAGATCACATTACTAATAGCTAGGAAAATGAGGGCAGAGCAGAATGCAGACCATCCATTGGCACGGACATGCAAGGATAAGCACATGGCTATGATGCCTTCATTGCTGTCGACTGAAGCATTTAAGAGAACTGGGGAAGAACTTGCAGCATATGGAAGCATCTGATCCAGTCCCCCCTATTTTGTGCATGTGCACTTGTTTTTGGGATTTCACGGGATAACTGGTAGCATTGCTAGTCCTTTTTTATTGTTTTTGTAACATCAATACTAAACTTTATGAGCGTTAACTAAATAAAATATTATCTAGTACACAGACGATACATCAAATTGTTTTTTCATTAACATAATATAAATTTTAGATTCTCAGAAGATTTTTCTTTTTTCAGCCCAATAAATCTGAGAAGAATTTTAACAATCCAACCATCCTTTACAAATTAAATTAATACTCTTCAAAATAAATCCATAGCAATATCCGATATCGATACTTTTCAAGAACTACTTCTTAAAATAGACAAATGATTTCGAGTCAAAAGATCTTATTCAAAAGTTTCAATCACCCTAATCTTATGTAGCCTTTTGTATAAATAAAAACTGTAAAATTAATTTTGAATTGCGAACAAGTACATAATAAATGAAAACATGAGTTTTATAAAAGACTCTGGGCAGATCACCCTGATCATTTATAGCAACATATACTAACTCTTCTCTTTTAGATACTTTTAAAGAAGATATTATATGTATCCTTATCCTTACCATCTCCTTATATTTTATCAGAGATTCTTTCTATTTAAAAGATAAAAATACAATATTTCTCTTGAACTTTTGGTGTAAAAAACTTAATAACTTTTAGTGATATAAAAATACCTTCTTTACTCGTGTTATACTTTGAGAGATTCAAACAAGACTTTTTAAAAAGAAAATTTTCTTCCAAGCTTACCAATTATCTTAAGAAAAAAAATTGATAAAAAAATAATTTGACTTTACAATATACACACATATTCCAATATATTTCATGGTGAATAAACTGCCTCTCTACATATTATATCTTATAAATCAAATCTTATAAGAAAAACATTACTGGCATACCAAGCCCATGACAACAAAAAGGCATTTAGCAAGAGCTTAGCCCCATCTATTATTATATTTTGAACGGTGATGGGTAAAATTTAAATATTTTAATTTAAAATTAATTTATTTATATTGTTGATAATTGTAATTTACTGATATTAAAATTAAATTTTTAAAAATAAAAAAATATTGTTTCAATATATTTTTAAATAAAAAAATATTTTAAAACATAATTATCACTGTACTCACGCATACTTGTTAGCCAATCTAAATCATAACATAGTTTAGAAGAAACGTAAATAAGGCATTGCCATTGTTCATTGAAATCCACCAAAGCTTCCTAGAGGCACGAAGCATCACAAAATCTCAAGCATGATAGACTCTAATAATTTAGAATTGAAGTTCTATGATGTAAATAAGTTTAGATTTTAAATTATTGATTTGTGAATAATATTTTGAAAGATGATAATAAATGTAAAAATTTTATGAGTAATTAATATATATATATATATATATTTACATGTTAATGTAAATATAAATATTCTAATTGACCATGATTATTTTTTAAATTATTATACAGATTTATTTAAATACCACACCTCCTAATAATTTTTAAAGTTTATTTTTATTATCAATAAATTTTTTGGATATGAAATTTATCAATAATAACATTATTATCTGTATATTTTGAAGATTATAATATTGTGTACATATAAATTTAAATGGACTAACTTATTTAACTTGTACTTTATTGTGTAAATATTTTCTAATTATAATAATTATAATAATAATATATATTTAGAAGCATATAGTTAATATCATTTGTGATAAACAATACTTAGAATAGTTCATATGGTTGAAAGAAGAATATTAAATCTATAACTATGGTTTGTTTATCATAGTTAAGGTAATTTTTTTTTTATTTTAACAAAATAATTATTCTTTAAGTTAATATATTAGAGAAAGTAAAATATTGTTGATTAAAATATGTTGGAGTATAATAAAAACATTGAATTACAGAAATAGTTGATTAGATACCAATGTTGATTTTTATTGATAACTCGAGATAGACTAATTTAAAGAAATTTTGTCAATTTTTTTTTAAAAATAATGAACTTTTAAAATATATCGTTGAAAAATTTTGAATTCTTCCACAAAAAGCATCACAAAATCTCAAATATGATAGATTATACTGTACTGGAAGGAACCTTCTTGTAAATAAAACTTATTTACGATTAAATAAAAGGAGCCATGTCCTTTTAATGAGTAATAAATTGGATCAAGATGCTCAAATTGCCTTAATTGGAAGCAAAAAAACAGGTTGATCTGATTCAATTCAAAGAAAAGGATTTTATTTGACTAAATATAATACCAGAGGGACCATATAATGTTCTCAGCTAATTCATTTTTACAATCTTTCTGTCTCCTTTCTATACCGATAAATATTAAAATAACATAATTTTAGTAGTTTTTTTAAAGGAAGTGACATCTTTATGTTAAAAAATAAAAATGAAATGAGTTTTTTCAGACAAGAATTGAAAAAATTATTTTTAAATTTAAAATATATTAAAATAATATTAAATGATTTAAAATAATAATAAATTAAATTTTTACATAAAAAAATTCATAATTACAAAAACAAACATGATCTAACGAATCTTTAAGTTTGACTAAATAGTTCATTATAATGTAATCTGATATTTTATAATTTTTATAATTTTAAATTATTTTTTTATATTTTTTACATATGATATTTTATAATTTTTTTAATTTTAAATTATTTTTTTATATTTTTTAATGTTTTTGTATTAAAAATAAAAAAATATTATTTTAATATATTTATAAATAAAAAACACTTAAAAACTTAACATTTACTACACTTTCAAATAAACACAAAAAAAATATTTTCCTAATTTAAAATACCTGAACCAGACCATTTTGGATAAACCGATTTGAAGGAGCCGAGTTGCAAATAAAATCGAATTCAAAGTCACCGGGTCCATTCAATAAGCCGGCGGTGCGGGTTTAAAAACTGAGATGCTCTTTTCAAAGCCCCTGGTTACTCAATAAAAACCTTCTCCATTGTACCTGGGAATTCCTCTCAAACAGCAAAGTAATTTCCTAAATCCAATCCTTGTCGTTGCATGATTTCAATGGAGAATCAACAAGAAGCGGAAGTGTTAATTCGGAAATTAGATTCCACAGAATCAATGATTTCAGTGACTATCGGCAGAGCTATTACCACTCTACTCAGTTCTCGAACTAAGAAGCTTCAAGACTCCATTCATCGCCTCTCTCTCGACTCTACCAACAAAAAGCCTTCTCTCGGTACTCACTCAACAATCGATTTCTTGTTTGTTTCAACTAGTTTCTGTTTCGGATTTTGAATTCTATGTCCTTTGTAGGTTCACTGGAGGATTCGCTTTGGTTCTTGCACAAATACGTTAAAGACGCGATTGAGAGACACGAGAAATTGGACCTGATTCTAGTTCCTATCACTCAACATGTACGGATGCAGCTATTTCTTGTAATTTATTTTTATTTTTTTCTTCCATTTTTCTTCTATTTATTTATTTATTTATTTTATTATTAGTGTTTGAGGAATGTAAATTTGAAGCATGGAGGACAAGCTATGACAATCATTAACTGGTTATTTCAAGATGAGTTTGTTTTCGAAGCTGTTGCTATGGATTTGGCTAATATTATCGAGAGGAAAGAGGATCGGCATGTTGCACTTGGTTGGTGTATTCTTGTTCGTGGTTTAGTGGAGTATGAGAATTTTACGGAGCAACATACGCTAAATGGTAATGAGATATTTTTCGTTTATTTTTCTCAGCTACTGTGTAAGTTTACTGTGTTTGTTTTTGTGAAGATCGGTTTGGTTGTAATCGGTTTGATTTTTGTTTGCGGTAGGAATAAGAGATAACTATAATGCGTTGTTGAAGATGCTTTGCTCATGTATCCCGCGTTTGGTGTGCATAGTGTGCAAGGGAAGGTATAGTCTATTCTTGTTTGTTTTAAATCATGCAAGATGTAGTCGGTTATTGCTACTAGTGGTATATTCTAGATGCTATGTTATGAGTTGCTTGCCTGGTTTAGTTGGTTGTAATTATATCTTTTTGAGTGTAATTAATTCTGAATGCCATAAATTTACCACTGATTTTGTAGGATTTTCATACTTGAATTTAGCTTCTTACTGTGTGGGTATTGAATGGTTGGTAATCTTTATGTGTTGTCATCCATTGTAAATCAGTGTGGTTTCTTTTGTTGCATGCATGGAATTTAAGGAGTCACATTTGTTAGTTCATCTGAAAGTATGCATGATGATGTAATTCAATATTCTTATAGGTCTCCTTTATTTTCCCATGTGATTTGCAGCACTTTGCAGGATAGACTTGAGTTGCCGTCTCGCCTTTCAGTGTCTGCTGCAGATTGTATTTTGTCTATCACAGAAGCTTTGACAAAAAAGACCAAGGTTGCTAGTAACAAGCCAAAATCATTGAATTCAAATGCATCACACCCTATTAGTTTGGTGTCAACTGCCATCAAAGAGAAGAAAGTGAAACCATCTGAATCATCAGAAGTGTTTAGTATTGAAATGGCTCACTTACTTTGGAAGCAGATAGAAGTACTTATCACCCTGTTACAGAGACTTCTTGCTGTATGTTCTATACATTAGTTTTCTTGTTTGATCTCCCTCCCAATTCTCGGTTGATTATTGACTATGTAATTGGGGTGCTGAAACTGTGATCTATATGCTTTTTATGTGTATCTGCATTCTCTCTAGATATCTGTATATGCAATCAGAAAACCAGAAACCTTTTGGCCTGCCAGAATGATTTTCTTTTTGGGTTTTAATGTTTCATAACTTTGGACTCTACTTATCTTCAGTCAATGTTTTCTGTTCCTTTAATGTCGTCATTTTTTCTTCAATCTCTTGAAGATTTTGTCACCATGTTGAAGCATTGAAGTCTACTGAATTTTTAGAAGTTTGGACTTTTTTAATATGATGATGGATAAGTTTATATCTCTTTGATACTTTATTATATTCATCTAAGTAGGGATATTTTCCCAACTGTTTTGAGTGAAGTTCATAGTAGTAAACTTTTATGAATCTGTCTATCTTGCTTTCATGGACATGATAGTATTATTCATATTAATTGTATTAGCATTGTTAAATATTTCTACATTATATCTGGGATTTCCTTTCTAGTATTAACTTCTTCAAGAAATGAGTTCAGATCTTAGAAAGAATGCTAGATATTTTTCTGATTTCATGATCTCCAAGTTATATCTAATTGCTACAAATACTGATTTGATAATAGTTTCCAGCTACTTAAAACATGCATTTATGTTCTGTAGCATGTTGATTTTTCCATGCCTTGCAGTGGAGCAGCAAAAGTAGGCCTTTACATGCTAAAGGGGTTGAGCAAGTGCTTAAATGGTTACAAGAGATAAAAAGGCACCATGGTCATGTTGAAAATGAGGCAGGTCTAATTCCCAGTATATGCTTCTTAAGGATTTTGTAATTTTAATAATATCTGATGATTTATGCATTGTCTGTTTGTCTCCAATTACAAAGACAGGTGGAAACATTCTCAAAACAGAAGCCTTGCTAGTGTCTTCATGCTGGAAGATTTACAGCACTCTATTGCACTTGGAAGACCGTAGATTTTCTCAGCATTGCGATGATTTATTAAATCAGTACATATCTGGCATCCAGGTTAGTTGCAAGTTGCATTGAAAATTTATGTTACTGGTTTTATCCATACAAATAATTCTTCATACCATTTTTCTCTGTACCTGGATCCATATCTATTTTGACATGGCGTGAGATCATATCTTCCATGCCATCTTTAACATATTTTTTGCATCATGAAGTGGTATAATGGTCACGCTTAGGATATGTAGAGTTCCTATCTATGCTATTATGACGGGAGGCCTGAACTGAAGTTCACAGGACCCTGACTTCATAGTCATGCTTTTAATTGAGAGAAGAATGCTTTGGCATGTAGCCTATTTTAATGTGGGCATATATACGACTGTATCAGGGAACTCTGGCAAATTGTGTTGACTTAAGCATTTGTGAAAGATCCTTTATCACTCAACTTTTCACAATTCTTGTCTATTTAATTCAATTCCAAGTGATTGATCCTTTTCTGATGACTAAAATGGGGAAAAAAAATGCATGTGCAGTATTATACAGATAACCATACCGAGGGGCATACAGAGAACAAGGATGGTGGTCTGGAGACTAGAAAGTTTTTCCTGAGATGTCTATGCCTTCTTTTGGGACGTTTAGACACCAAGAAATTTGAAACCGCGTTGTCAGAAAATGGTTTGCAAATATCCCAAGTTCTTTTGTCACAGGTAAATTTTCTTGACATCACGAACAAGCCCATTGATTGATCAGCCCCTGAATTATATCCGCCTACTATTATATGGCTCGTGCTAATAACTGTATAGCCTCTCTGCAAGTTATTAATGTATTTGTTGATTGATTTCATATTTACTTAAACAAATAATCACTAAAGAATTTGCAACTGCTGTCAGTCAGTCACCAAATAATTTGCAACTGCTGCCTGGAGTTTGCTTGGATCAGGCTTAGACTGCAAATAGTTATAGGCTGGTCCTGCAGAAGGTTTTAGATACATGCTATTATGCACCCCATTTTTTTCCAGATAAAAGTTATCATGCCCTATATTAAGCATGGGGTTAGTAAAGGATATTAACCGAAACAGAATATGAATGCATTCTTGTGCATGGGGCTGGGTTGATGAAATAAAATTGTTTAAAATTATGTTGTTGTGATGACAGATAACACTAGGAATCTTATTGTATACTTCAAGAAGACAAAAGAAAAGGGGCACATCTGAAGTGTGGCAGTAAATATGTTGTTTCTTCTCTCTTTTCTTGTTATGCATGCATTCTTCACCATCTGTAGAATTTTATAGTTGTAGGAATGGCTGATGCTATTCCAAGAGTCCCCCTTGAAGCACAAGTTGTGCGATCAGGGTTTGAAATTTTTTATTTGGAAATCTTGAATTTTTAATGGCCTACATAGTTGAGATAGATGGGATCATTGTATTTTATTGTGTCGTCTGAAATGCAGTCCCGGTAGTAGTTACTCATCCACCCTGTTGTGTTAGAATCCAATCTTCTTTATGATAGAACACTGTATCCTGTAGTCATACTTATTGTCTCTTTTCTTCCTCCTTTTCCATTTTTTGTTGTGGGAAGCTTCAATGTGCTGATGAAGATGTGGTGGAGGGTGCTGTTTACATACTTAAATCAGTCATATTGAAACCAAATTCATCTGGAAATGGTCTGACAGACAGTAGACAGATGGATGCTGTGCTACCTTTGTTACTGCACCTTCTGGATGAGCGGGATGGCACAGCCAGGGCTGTTGTGATGCTCATAGCAGAATGCTGCTCAATGTATTCTTTCCTTTTCCATTTGTCTTTTAGTATGTGGTAGCTTATTTGGATCTTCATGCTAAAATTTGATTCAACAGGAGCACTAACAGTAACTGCCTCAAACAAGTTCTAAGCCGCCTTGCTTCTGGAAATGCTTTGCAGAGGAGGAATGCCCTTGATGTTATAGCGGAACTTGTTTCCATATCATCAAATTCAGCAAAAAAAAGTTCTCATTTGGCGTGGTATTTTACTGTTTAGAAGCTATATCATTCATTAGTTTCCTGTTTCTTTTGCTTTTCATTTTTTGTCACTTATAATCTTTCCATATGACTATTTCAGGCAAGATATTGCAAACAACTTGTTAGAATGCCTTAATGATGAAGAAACAATAATTCGTGAACTGGCATCCAACTCACTTTCCATGATCGGTTAGTTCACTTTAATACCTTTTCCTTTTTTGTTGCTTGTTAACTTGACGCAATGTATAACATGGTTAAAAGTTAGGGTTCTTAAGCTCTAAGATTACATACCTAAGTCGTAGAGATATTTAGAGAAACTCTTTGGTTTTATTAAATTTTTTAATAATAATCTTCTTCAAAATAAACAAGACACCTCTATTTTTATTAGTCTTAAAATCTTTTATGGGAAAGAATTCCTAAATACTAATTAAAAACAAATAATTAAAATTCAGATTAATTAGGAAACTAATTAAAACAACTCAAACTTCATATGAGATGTTTCCAAGTTTCTTCACATACTTCTCTCCAGGCTTGGTCTTGTCTATCTGGTTTATAAATATAGTTGTAACATGCTCCATGCCCATCCCCTTTACTTGCGAAATACTCGACCTCGAGTCATGTCTAAGCTCTGGATACAAAGTTTGATAATCATTGAAATGATATATATCTGACACATTAAAAGTTTTGGAAATACTTGCACTATCAAGTAATTGATAATATAAATATCGTCACTAATCTTCTTCAGGATAATGTAAGAACCATATTTCTTATGTTGTAGCTTGCTATGTGATCCCATCGAAAATCTCTCTTTGCAAATGAACACCATCACCTTATCTTCTTCCTTGAACACTTTAGCACGGTGGCATCTTTCAGCAGCTTCCTTGTATTTGGTATTGGTCTTCATCAACTTGTGTTTCACACCCTCCATGATAGCTTGTGCATCCATAGCCATCTTCTTAGCAGCCACACTAAACCCAACACCCTTCTGAATTGGCACAAGATCTAGCACATGTTTATGACACTTTAGATACACAATCTCGAATGCTGATCTACTTGTGGCACTGTGTTTGGTACTGTTGTCTGTAAATTCTTCTTTTACAAGGGCATAATCCCATTGTTTTGGCTTGTCACCCCAAATACGCCTTAACAAGTTTCCAAGTGTCTGATCTAGCGACCCTGTTTGCCCATCTATCTATGGATGTGCCGGGCTACTAAACTATAATGAAGAGTCATACAATTTCCACAACATACACAAAAAATGATAATAAATTTGTTGTCCTAGAAGAGATGATCTTTGGCACCCCATGTAAACAAACCACCTCTCAAAAGAAAAGTCGAGCAATAGCAGATGCATTATTCATCGTTTTGCAAGGAATAAAATGTGTTATTTTTGAAAACCTATCAATTACAACAAATACATAATTCATCTCCCATTGGGTATGAGGTAATCCAAGTACAAAATCCATTGACAAGTCCTCCCACATGTTTTCAGGAATAGGCAAAGGTATATATAAACCTATACTTTGTGCTTGTCCCTTGGCAGTTTGACAAATATAACATTTTTGCATAAATTTACCAAAATTCTGTTCAATTAAGGCCAATAATATATGTCAATGGTCTGTCACCTCAAGTGACTAGCCAAAACTTCTCCATGCAATTCCCGAATCACCTTCTCCCGCAATAAAGGCCAAGAAATGCAAAGTTGATTGCCTTTCATCTGAAATCCATCATAAATGTGAAAGTCATCAACGAGCATATTTAGACACTTCTTTCACATCTCGCCAAAATCCTCATCATGCTCATACAACTCTTTCAAATAGTTGAATCCAGTGATCTCTCCCCTTAAGAGTGACCAGTAAGACTGCTCTTCTGCTCAAAGCATCAACATTTCTATTTTGAACTCCAGCTTTGTACACAATTTTGATTGGAAACCTTTGGAGGTAAGTGACCCATATTGCATGGATATCATTACTTATTCTCTTTTGATCATGTAAAAATTTCAGGGTCTCATGGTTATAATACAATACAAACTTCTTACCAATCAAATAATGCCCCTGCTTTTTAAGATTTCGAAAAACAACATAGAACCCTTTGTCGTAGTTTTATGTAGACCACTTTAACCTGCCATCATTCAACTTCTCACTAAAAAATGTGTTGGGTCTCTTCTCTTGGGATAGAACTCCACAAATCCCAACACTACAAGCATCACATTCTATTTCAAACAGTTTGTAGAAATATGGAAGTGCCAAAACAGAGCATTGCTTTTTTTTTTTTTTTTTCATTAAAGCCTTTTCTGTCTCTTTTCCCCAATCATATTTTCCCTTCTTCATGCATTCAATATTGGCTGCCACTATATTATTGAAATTCGAATGAATCGCCAGTAGAAAGTAGCTAACTCATGAAAATTACAGACCTTACTAACTGTTTTAAGGGTTGACCAATCTCTAATGGTCCGAATTTTCTTCTCATCAACATGTATGCTCTCTGCACTAACAAAAAAGCCCAAAAACAGTAGCTTACCAGTTATAAAACTACACATCTTTAGACCAATCTCTAATGGCCTGAATTTTCTTCTCATCAACATGTATGCTCTCTGCACTAACAAAAAAGCCCAAAAACAGTAGCTTACCAGTTATAAAACTACACATCTTTAGATTTTAATATAATTTATTTTCTAATAGTCACTTAAGCACCATCCTCAAGTGTCCTACATGATCAATCTCAGATCTACTATAAATCAAGATATCATCAAAAATAAAAAAAAACACAAATTTAGTTATAAAAGGTCATAGGACCTTATTCACCACCCCTATAAAAGTGCTCGGCGCGTTAGACAGTCTAAAAAGCATAACTAGCTACTCATACAATCCCTCCTTTGTCTTGAAGTTGTCTTCCACTCATAACCTAGCTGGATTCAAATATGATGGTAGCCACTCTTCAAGTCAATCCTCGTAAAGATTGATGCCCCATGTAACTGATCTATCATGTCATCTAACCGAGGAATCAAAAATTTGTATGCCACAGTTATTTTGTTGATGGTGTGACTGTTCATACACATATGCCAACTGTCATTTTTTTTAGAGTCAATAATGCTGGAATTGCATAATGACTTTAGACTTTCTTGGATCTATCCATTTTTCAACTGCTCATTTACCTTTTTCTTCAATATCTCACCCTCCTTAAGACTCGTTTGATAGTGTAGCAGATTTAAAAGGTTAGCTACCGACATCAAATCAATTTGATGTTGAATGTCTCTAATTGGTGGCAATCAATCTAGCAATTCATCAGGCAAAATCTCCTCAAACTTGCCAAGTAAAGACTAAGTTACTTCGGGAATGTCTTCTCTTTTGTCTTTTGCTTGTTCATCCACTAATGCCTTCACAACCAATGCATGAATTTGCCCAATTTCCTATATCTTTGCTTGCATATCAAGCTCTAAATTAGTTATTGTAAGGAAAGTCTTTTCCTCTACTTTAGAAGCATTAGGATTGGATTCTCACTTCAATAGTACAAGAGTATAATTCACACAATTCTTTATAATCTTCTACAAATAATCTCTACTGAAGATCAAACTACGTGCATCCATATCTACTATATTACAATACGTTTCATCCCTATGCTTCCCAATAGGAAATAGTACTCTACAATGTTGATTTACCTTTATCTTTTCTATTGACCTAATCCACCTAATCTCGTAAGGTTCAGGATAAGGGTTCTAGTCGTAATTTTAATTTACCAACAATATGTTTACTAATAATATTTTTACAGCTTCCACTATCGATAGTTAAGTTAAACAAGTTTTTATTTAAGGTGCAATGGGCATGAAATAACCTATTTCACTGCAAATCCTCAGAAATCTTTGGTGTTAGCAACATCTTCCTAACCACATAGTTTTGTCTCTCATCATCATTGTCATGCTTATACTAATTTTCTTCATCACAGCATCTTCCTAGCCACATAGTTTTGTCTCTCATCATCATCGTCATGCTTATACTAATTTTCTTCATCACCCTCATCAGATTCACACAGCTCGCCCTCATCATCAGAGGGAGGTTGCTCATACTGCTCTAAAATCAGTTTGAGTGATTTTTGTGTCCTACAATCACTGGAACGATGTCTTGGTTCTCCACATTTAAAACATTTGGCAATCATTGGCCTAGTATAGGGGTTATTTGATTTGTTAGTTTCAACTTGTTTTCATTGGTATTGCTAAAACAAATATTGCTCATTGTCAAAAGGAAGAAATCTCTCATGCAATAACTGTCTCATGCACGTCCATGACATGATAGGTTGTCTTCCTCCTTTTAAGTGTGTATTTGTCTGATGTTTCCAGCAGGAAGAAGCTCTACCCTTCAGGTTATTTAGGTTATTTGTGATTAGTTTCAACATCTCTTCCGAAAAACCTGAGTACTTAACCCTATCACATTCAACGATCCAGTCAAGAAATTCTTCTATGTCCAATCTCTATTGAATGCGAGGATTTCTATCTTAATGCTAAAATCATGTGTTTGTTACAATGGTCTATCTTGGAATGTTAAGGCCCTACGGCCCCCATCAAATTCGTATCCACGAACACCCTTCACATGGACAACTGGTTCTCCAGGTGGATCTTCGGGAATAGGTTTGGGATTTGGTCAGCCTCGAGGCAAGTCTCCAAGCAAGTTTCTCTCTTTACGATCCTTGTTTGTGTTACCCATTAGCCGAGCTAGATATATTATGGTTTGCTCTAAACAATCTAGTTTGTTCCTGGGCTCGTATAGTGCCCTAAAGGGCCTCCACTTCTGCATTGTGGAGTGGGTTGCTACAATCTGTCTATTAAAGAGGTTAACTTGCTCTGATACCAATTGACGCAACATATATTATGGTAAAAAATTAGGGTTCTTAAGCCCTAAAGGTACAGACCTAACTTGTAGAGAAATTTAAAGAAAACTCTTTGGTGTTTTATTAAAGGTCTTAATAATAATATTTTTCTCCAAATAAACCAGACACACCTATTTGTATTAGTCTTAAAATCCTTTATGGAAAATGATTTTCATTAAAACTAAAATACTTTGTAAAAAAGGATTCCTTGTATGATTAGTATAATCCATTTAGCGTTAGGATTCTTAAATACTAATTAAAAACAAATAATTAAAATCCAAAATTATTTAGGAAAATAATTAAAACAACTCAAGCTTCATATCAAATGCTTTCTAGTTTCTTCAGGGACTTCTCTTCATGTTTGGTCTTGTCTATCTAATTCATAAATATAGTTGAAACACGCTTCACGTCATTACTAGTGCTCTTTATTGGTATGAGGGATGCTGTTATATCATTCATGGGCAATCTGATGGTTCTAATCCAATCCAATGTGTTATATTGAGGTGTTACCTTATGTCTTTCGTGAACTTCTTTGACAGGACATGGAATCCTTATGATGTATTTGTAGGGATTGTAATAGCTGCTTAGCTTCTTTGTGTTAAGAGGTCTATTTGATGTCTTCTGAAACTACATGAAACCTGCCCATATTTCTCCTATTTCTGTTGCATAGACTTTCAAAACATCTGCTTTTTCATTCTAGAAAGGAATTGCATAGTTTGTACCAGTAAGCCATTCTCTTTATATTCATATCTTCTGACATGAATGTACATAATACTGATATTTGAAAGAACCTATAATTTTAAGAATGGTTGTATTGAGATGTTATATATATAAATCTCCAATCCATTCTTCTAGTGATCAATTTCTATGCTATATTGGCAGTTTGCAGAGGACCTAAACATAAATGGACGCTTTATACTCCAAAAATTCTTTAGTGATTTGTGAAAAATAATACAGAGTCTCTTCTTCTAGGCCTGGTCTTGGGAAAAACTTCTTTGTTCTCTCTTTTGTCAATAAAGATTTAATGTTTTTATCAATGTGCCCCTATTGCTAAATTCTCTCTTTTTGCAGACCCATCATTGGTTTTGCCTACATTGGTTCAGCTTGTGTGCTCATCAGCAGGGAAGGAATCATCTGCTTGTGCTTCCTTTATTGCCATGCTCAAATACCATAGTTCTAGACCTGAAGTTATATGTTTGCTACTTGACTGTCTTAGGTATTTATTTCTCCTCTTTTCCATTCATGAGAAATAAAACTTGATATTTCCTGGATAACTCTTGTGAGTTCTCATTTTGAATCATATTAGCAGAGTTGAGTTTTCGCTGTTTACCTTTTCCTCCCTCATCTTTTGACAGCAACCTTAACAAGAGTCCAGATCCTTCAAACACCGCAGGAGATGTAAGGGAAGGTTTGTCTCTCACTAGATTTTACAATTTGGCAGATCTTGGATTTTCATCTATTTCTGTCTGTGTCATTTGGTAATCTTTTCCCTTAGGTTGCATGACCAGCTTACTATAGCTATTATTCACATACAATCACCCAATAAGATGAAAATGTCAGCAGTTTTTGCGGAATATGGAGAGGTTAAAAAATCTCCCTCATCCCCAAGGTTTGAACTTAAGATTGGGAATCCAACTCATTAAGCCCAGGGGCTAATTGGGTTGATTATTACATGAATGTTCAATAATGTGGGTATTGACAGTTTTCTGTTTCTTTCTGATTTTTTTGTTTATCTTCAATTAGGTAAATTCAGATATTCTATAAGGTTCATTAGAAACTCTTTATTTGTTTTTTTGAACGAGGAATGATTGATGTCTTTTTTTCTTTCATTCCATCCTCCTGACTAATAACTGAGTCTTAGGTATTTGATTTAAAATGTTTTTTTCTTAGTGACACTTATCAGTCTCCTTGAGCAAGACATCTGCCTTTTGTTCAATGCTCATTTTCCATTAACAATGCACAGGATCAAAAGTGGACATTGATCGAGTACTCAAGTTGATCCCAGAGTGGTCTAAAACAGTAAGATTTGAGAATGCTTTAATTTGGATATATCCTGTGCAATGCTATCCCTGTTTGATCGCTTCATCAAACATTTTCCCTGCTCTATGTGCATTTTCATTTATTTCTTTCAACATCAATATTCTTTTTATCTTTTCATTTATTTCTTTCAATATCAATCTTTTTTAATCATCTCTGTATAAATGATCGTGCTTGCATATCTCTTTGTTAAACCCATCCCTCAATGAAGTAGAGGCATACCCCACCACTAGGCTACTACCCTTATTGTGTAGTACTTTTTTAACAAATTCACTCTCAGATTATTTTGTTATTTATCAGCAACCTGTCAGCTGACATTATGAAATATCATAGGTTCAAGACTGGAATCCCTTAATCGGACCTTTAATTGACAAGATGTTTTCTGAGCCAGCAAACGCTACCATTGTTCGATTTTTGAGTTATATAAGTGAACAACTGGCAGAAGTTGTAAATGAAATCTTCCATCCTGTTCTTTTGAAGATGAAGGGACAGAAAGAGTAAGTAAATCATATTAACCTAATCTGTTCTGGTCCAGTTTTTTTTTTTTTTTTTTTTTTTTGACCTAATCTGTTCTGGTCCAGTTTTTTTCTTTTTTTGTAGAAAATATATTATTCACCATTTATTGGGTAATTTAGTTGATTATGATCAGGTTGAATTGGTGGAAATCAATAAATTCAATCAATCAAATTTTAGTTTTTTTTTAAATGATCATATTGACCAAGTTAAAAAAATTATTTATGATATATAATGCCAGATATTGGTTCTGGCAATTTACTCTATTCAATGCTGTTAGACTTCAAATTGCAGGAAGTGTCATTTGATTACAACTTCTATAGTTTTCCTGAAGCTAGATCATCTACTATTGTCATTTGATTACATAGTTTTCCTGAAGCTAGATCATCTACTTTACTAATTATTGCATGAAACCTTGCCTCTTTTTGTTTGTTTGTTTGTTTTTTTATCAAAGGTTAGATGGATGTTAGAAAGGACATAAGCATACCTATGATCTCAGATTTTGATCTGCCATGATGATACTATCTTCCTTTGTTGAATTTATATGTTTTCCTCTGTCAGGATTGATGAAGGCTTCATATCCATGTGGGAGAGCAGAACGTATACAGACGAGGACTCTGTGAAAATGCAGCAATCTCTCTTTGAGCACCTTTGTCCACTGCTTATTATAAGGCTCCTTCCGCTGAGAGTTTTCAACGACCTCAGTTCATCTGTTTTGTATGGTCAAGTTCCCAGTCAAAGCATTGCTCACGGTCTGTTTGTAACTTCTTTAAGCCTCTTCTCATTTTTGTTCCTTCTCCTTTTCTTTATTCCTTCTACAATGAAAAGCTCCATAAGATGACTGTGCTGTTGCTTATTGTTGTGGACTTCTTTCAAGTTCATATCTATTGCCTAGCTTCTTTCAACAATTAACATTTCACTGGTACACTTCTGTCCATTGATCTTGCCTGAACTCTGCATGTTCTATGAATTATGAACCTGTAAGATATAACATGATATAAGCACAGAAATAACATTTTTGGTTGTCCATAATGCTCCATGTCTTTGTTTCTTAGTCCATGACTTCCAATCCAGAAGTTGTGCTTTTGTATGTGGGTCTATGTATGGACTCACATGCACATGCATTGAGGTTGTATCCAGAGTTGATTCCAGTGATCAATAAAAATTACTGGATGTAGAATACGTAAAACATTTGATTTGTTGCAGAATAAATTTGTCAATCAAGCAAATCTGGGAAGCGAGGAACTAGCTCCATGATGAAATTGGAGCTTCAGCACAACATCTTTAAATTTTATAAACAAGCATGCCAAGGACAGAAGCTATCCAGACTGATTTTAATGACGTGTTGTAGAGCAATTACAATTGTTGAAACTGCTTACTGGTTACTTTTCCAAGGGTTAAATGTATCTGAAATTTTTCTGCATATCTATTGATTTAGAATGGGTGGAAAAATATACAAAAAATCTTGCATGCCAAACCACACATTTTTAAATCAAAAGAAATCTTTTCAAGTCCCCTTTTTATATGTGAATTGCTTTCTGCTAGTGAAATAATGTGTTTCAACCCATGTTTGGGTGCATTTTAAAAGTGTGTTTGACATGAAAAAACATCAAACTGATGTTTTTTTAGTGTTTTCTGATGGTTTTGATGCGTTGATGCCAAAAATAAAAATAAAATATGATAAAACAATTGTTTTGATGCATTTTCAAGCAAAAAATACTTTTGAAAAACACTGCACCACAATATCAAACACCCATGCAGGAAGGGGTAAACTAGCTCTCATGTAATTCTGGTTACCACATCGACTTTCATACCCATTTATTACATGATTGAGCAGTGGCTGTAAACTAGTTGTCTGATTTCTATGAATGTATGGTCTGCTGCTGAGCTTTACAATTTGATGATGCAACTAACTTTTGTTTTTATCCGATGCAGTTTCAGAATGCGGAGATGTCAACATTATTCATGATTGTTTAGCTGCATTGCTTTTAAAGAGGTTAATCCATAAGCTGGAGTGCCATAAAGTTTCGGTGACCTGTATCAAGTGCTGATATATTGTTTGTTTTTTTTGGTCTCCTTTTCTTATCAGAGCATTTAATAAGTATGAATTTGAAGACGTAAGAAAACTTGCTGCTGAGCTTTGTGGCCGTATTCATCCCCAGGTACGCCACAGGGATTCACGTCAACTTATTTGTGGTCATTGTGCTTCCTTGAAATACTTGGAAAGCAATTAGTGTCTGCTATTCTGGCAATGTCATTTACTCAAATGAGGTTTAAACCTTGTTCTTATGTGATTAGCTTAACTAATCTGCCGCAAAGTTTTTAGGATTCTTTCTAAATGAATGACCAAAAACTCTTCCACAAAGCACCTCGATGAATTAAAGTTAGAAGCGTAAATATTTTAGGATTTAAGCAGTAAAACTTTCAATGTCATTTTTGCTCTTGGTATTTCATTCGGCATATTATTTGAATACATAATTTTAGAAGCGGGAAAGGATCCTTTGTGTCCTCCTATCTGTTGTTTTCATTTTTGTGTTCAACATAATATAGCATCCAGTATAGCTCTTAAATCCATGACACTTGAACATCCATTTTTTGGTCTCTGATCTTGTTTCCTTTCACCTTATGTTGAAATGTTTTTAATGGAGATAGGATGGGTTGGTTTCAGCTCCCATCTGCGACTTTCTCACAATGCATTGCCTTTTCATTTCTTGTAAGAAGTTCATACTGATTTGCCTTGTCAGACTATACCTTATAGCGGCAAGTTGGAATTCAAAAGAATCAATAGAAGTGAATTCCATTTATATTAATCTTCAAAATTAGAAGGATACAAAATAGTTAAGAATTTTTAGTGTGTGGATGTTGTATACATGCATTCTCTTTTTGGTTGTAGTAATTTTTCTTTTGAACCCCATAACAGGTGATACTTAGAGCCTTCCTCACTTTCTTGATTTTGTAGGTGCTCTTACCAATTGTTTCGACTGTATTAGAACATGCTGCAGCTTCTCATGATGTACTAAAGATAAAAGCATGCTTGTTTTCAGTTTGCACTTCTCTCGTGGTAATAATACAATTTTTTTTCTCATATTCTATATTTACAAGTCTCTTATGACTGATCATGTTGCAGCTAATGTAAATGCGTGTTGTGGTTTGTAGGTTAGAGGCATGGATTCAATTTCTCATCCTGCTATTCTGAAAATAAGAAAAATGATAGAAACTATTCTATTATGGCCTTCTTTAGATGGAGATGAAGGTAGATATTTTATACTTCTGTCCATTTTACTCATAGCTCCAATATGATGTTTCTGAATTTCTTTTGTTTTTTCAGTTTCCAAAGCACAACATGGTTGCATTGATTGTCTGGCACTTATGATTTGTGCTAAGCTGCAAGTTCCTGCATCATTCAAGGAATCCTCAAAGAACTTAGGCGCAGCTAGGAAGACCAGTTACTGTGGTTGGTATCTTACCCTTGGCACAAGCATTTTATGCTATGCACTGGACAAAGTCTTACTTTGAACTTGTTGGCTCAAAATACAGGGAATGCTGTGTCAGGAAACTGTGTCCTCTTATATGTAATCAATCTACTTATAAATGATGAAAATGCACTTGTTTCTGCTTCCATGTTGGGTAGTGAGAACTCAGCATTTGAGGCAACAACCACTCTTTCTTTCCGTGTCTGCATGGCCAATGTTCTTATCAGTGCTTGCCAGAAGATCTCGGACTCTGGCAAGAAGCCTTTTGCTAAAAAAACTGTTCCACATCTGCTTCAAGCCGTTGAGGTATCTTATTTATTTATTATCTTTTCTTTTTAGTCTTAAATAAGGTAAAGAAGTCATACTTTCTATGACTTGCAGTTCTGCTTTGCGCAATAAACAATTTCACATCATGCAGGGCATAATGCATCCAGACATCAGAGCTGCTTGCATCCAGGTTCTGTTTTCAGCTGTTTACCATCTGAAGTCTGCAGTTCTTCCTTATTCATCTGATCTCCTAAACCTCTCTCTCAAATTTCTTAGTCGGGGGTCAGAGAAGGTATTAAACTTAGTCCCAGACGATTTTATTCAGTGTTCTATACTTGGTCTTATATTTTGAAATCCATTATCCACAGAGGATAGTAATTTTAATATAGACCTCTATGCATTGACATAAGCGATCAACTCCATGCATATGTGGCTCTTTGAGGATGTGACTTAAATATTATTTCTTATGGCTGGTATTTCAAGACAGCAATTTTATATTCCGCTACTTTTGATATCTATTGGTCCTTTTATTATTACCCCTCCCCCCGCTTTTTCCTACTTACTTGGGTGTTAAGGATCCTGCAATACATGCCCTGCCTTGACCCGAGCTTGCAGCTTCCGCATTTTTTCCACATTTTATCGTTGAATAAACCTTGCTCTACTGAAATCAGGCAATTTTAATGCTTGAAAAAAAAAAAAAACACTGTAGGATTGTAAAACGTGAATTTTAGTGACCTGAAGATTGCATGCACAATATTTTTTGTTTTCAATTTCCTCAGAACTCATTCTTTGCCTCATATCAGATGGTGGGTGCATTTCAAAATGGATTTCTTTTTGGTGTTTCTTCTGCCCAATAAAATTTCTTGAATACATCAGTTTAGGCTATTTTTACCCTCCTTTTCAGTTTCTCACCCAATTTATTTTCGTGCTCTATTGCTGGCTATTTTCTATCAGGAGAGGATGGCAAGCGCTAAGCTAATCGCATCTCTTCTGGCCAGTGAAGATGTGATTGTGAAAAGTATATCCGGGGGATTGCTAGAAGCAAGATCTGTGCTCTCACGCGTATCCTTTTCAGATTCTTCACTTGAATTACAACAAATATGCCAAAAATTGCTGGCATGCATAACTTCTCCCTAAGCTCTTGTCGAAGCACTACAGTCAGAATTGGAATAGAAAGCTTTTTTGTTTTTGTATCTCTATGTGACTTGATAGATGTAAGGTTAATCTCATCTATGTTAGTATTAATTTTATCTCTATGTGACTTAGATGTGAGGTTAATCTCATCTATGTTAGTATTAATGAGTCATTCACCTTCACTAGAGTTGGCCCCTCTTGTACATAAAATTCCTGTGCTCTCACGCGTATCCAGTTTAAACTTTAAAGGTTTTCTCTTTTTTTCTCCCGAGGGCCGCTGGTTCCTTGTTGAGCCCAGCCCGAACCAAGCCCAGCTCAGCCCATGAACAAGTATAAAATATCAATGAATGCAATAGAGGGAGAAGGGGGCATTTTTCAAAATTACAAGCGTGATCCGTAATCGTCGCCAGGTTTTTAACTAGAGATCCCCCCCCCAAAAAAAAAAAAAAAATAGAAACCCAACCACATTTCGATTGGAAGTGTGCTGGTGGACATTTCTCGAATCAATTGCTCCTTGCCAAGTGCTTGTCATGATGAACAAGTATCCCCCTCCCATCCCTCTCGGCAAAGAATAATTTAACATATTGTTAGTGCTAGTTTTCTGAGATTGTGATTGGATCTTTTTTTTAAAAAATTAGTTATTATTTATTTTTGTTTTTGGATATATGTTGTCAATGAATTTTAATAAATAAATAAATATTATTTTAAAATATTTTCAGAAAATTTATATTTTACAATTACTTTTTATCCTAGTCATTTTACTCTCGATGTTATTAGTTCGCTTATGAAGGGTTGTGTTGGAGAGAAAACATGTCAATATTTGAATTACAATGTGCCAATGTGGTTCAAATGTCTGTCTTAGAGCAAATGAATTATACAATTCACTTGATATTAATGTATAGATTTCGAGTTTGAATCTTCTTTTAAACTCAGGAAAAAAGCATAAAATTATAATATAAAGAATAATTACAAAGATCTTTTTTACTAGAAGGGTCCTTCTTTGGCACTAAATACGGAGGATTTAGTGTTTTGCAGTAATTAATTAAAAAATATAGCCATCATGGCAAAGAAAAGACAGATTTATTCTCTAAAACGAGATATTTTTTTATAATTCGTAAATGGTCATCTTTTACAACACCTTGTATCCTTTTCCTTTCAACAGTGTGTTTTTTTATTCTTGTAGTCCTCCTAATGAGAGATGTTTGATGGGTTCAAGCTTGATTACAGATCAGTAAAGGTTATATATATATATATATATATATATGTATGTATGTCCAGCATGAATTCTTTTTTTAAAATCGTACTTCAAATGGAATAAGCTTATACTGGCAAGAAAAATGGATATCATAAATATAATCTTTTGAAAATTAGCGTCTATAAACAATCAACTCAATTGATATATTGTATCCTCCACTAGGAACTCTTTATGGAACATCTGTTCAAGATTAAAAACAAAAAAACTCTGTTTGGAGCCAGAGATCTCGTTGAAATTCTAAGACGATTTTTCTTGAAAATCTTGGAATACCATGACCCCTGATTAACATGGCTCAACTTTTGAGCCATAATCACGCATCTCTGCAGCCGTTGATTCCAGTGCAAAAACCATACCTCGCCGGCAAAGTCCCCACCAATAACTTCTAAAACTTGCTTGTCACGGCTACCACTTGTGTTTCTTTATATTCTTATCACTTGCCTGAGCGCCAGCATTAATATTCTCTTAAATATCACAATGTCTCCTAGCTTGAATGTCATGTTGTGTTTAGTATTTAATGAAAAACTTATCGTTAACCAACAAGACATTGAAGTATCCTGTCCTTTTATTCGATGAGGAAGGAATTCTTTTTCTGTAAAATACAATTGTGGGATTAATCAAGTCATAAGTTAGCAAACATATACAAGGCCGAAGAATATATTTATTATGTTTCAGCTTTTGGTTGCCTCGATTTTTCACCAAATAGTGAATGGGGCAGCAAAGAAAATGAATATTCTATTTCTTTTTCTACTAAACTATTCATGTATTATCATACCAGCTTTTAGCAACCTCCTTAGCTTCTTTGGAAAAACGGCTGCTAGTATTTTTTAATTAACTTTTTATGTTAAAATAAATATTAATAATATTTTTTTTTATTAAACTAATCATGTATTATCGTACCAGCTTTTAGGAACCTAAATATTGTTTAATTTTAGACATGCCTTCCATTGTTCGGATAAATTCGGGGGAAAAAATCATTTCAGATTGGGTAATATTCAGGGGAATTTTTTTTCTCTGTCTTCATCACTCGTTTTGACTTGATACATAATTGGGGTAATCTGAATTCTTTTGTGATCAATCGCATATTAAATTTCCTTTAAGCTAAAATGCTAAAAGATAAAACAATCATATATTAAATTTCTTTTAATTTTAGTTTTTTTTTTAAATTATAAATACACTTCAGGTAATTGCATTTTTTTTTTGTCTTACCCAAGCTTATCCATGATCCTAAAGTTTCTTTTTATTGTTGTTCTTGAACAAGGCACGCGTAAGTCCCAACTTATAGTTTGCATCGGATCCTTAGCCGGTGATATGTTACGGGTTGAATTAAATAATTTTTCCAAGGTTAAAAATATCGTCCAGACATTGCTGCTTGAGTGATTTCTAGTATAATAATAATAATAATTATGAATTTAAAATATGATTTATATTATATAATATTTTTTAAAATATTTAAATTGTAATATATTAGATAAATATTTTTTTAAAAAAAATATTAAGATAATAACATGTTGGATAGATTTAGTGGGTTAATCTATCAAATACATGATTTAAGTTATGAAACTATAATAACCTCTTAAAAAATCAAAATAATTAATGAAATTTAATTTTGAATTAACCAAATGTCCAAGGATGAAATTAAAAAAATTAATTAAAAAATATAAAAAATAATTTGAGTCAACCTAAATTAACATTTCAAACCCATAACCTGGATAGTAAAATCAAGATAATTCTATATAAAACAAATTAAAAAAATTAAGTTTTTTTATTAAACTTGATTTAAGAATTTCATGATTGTTATGGTAATGAGATATGCAAATTAACTTAAGTTGACATATATTTTTTTCACTATTTTTAATTTTTTTTTTGTCATTTGTGGCATTACAACTTTGTTTGATAATTTAGCTTTATGATATTTTTTTGATATTTTTTCAAACACGTTCATTTTATTATCATAACTGGGTCAAAGACTTTACATCTTGATCAGGGTAGTCTCATATTAAGTTTTGTTTACCTTTTTAAATTATATATTTTTTATTTTTCATTCTTTAACATTTTATTTACTAGAGATTGAACTTTTTCTTCTTTTTTCTTTTTTTTATAAAGTTATCTTTTTTTTATTTTTTTTATTAACCTAAGTGTTCAGGCTAATTTGCATATATCTCGACTAATCTTGCGACTCTTGAAATTAACGACTATGCAAGTTTCCAGTGGCTCTGAGAGGACTTGAACATGTGACTATTGGAGAGCAAACCCAAGACTTGACTAATTAAGTTACTCCATAGGGTTATCTTGTTCTCATTTGATTTATTAGTAATTGGTATTCAAACTTTCTTTCATGTATTTTTTCTATGAGATTATCCAAAACTTATATCCATGGTCACAAAGTTTGCGAGTTAATTTAGTTTAATTAGGGTTTTTTTTATTTATTTTTATTTTTTCTTTATCATTAAGTTGTTTAATAATCTTGGTTCATATCGAGTTCTTTGAACTTTTTTTTTGTAGTTATTTTCTTGTTTGTTTGTTTATTTATTGTTATTGTATTTTTTTTAATGATACTATTTAAATTACCAATTAAATAAATAATTTGAGTCTTAGATTTTTTCCCTTAGCTCAAATGAAGAAAGCCCAAGCATGTTTGATTATTTCTTTTTATATATATATATATATATAAAAATAGACAGCATTTCTGTTCAATTTTAATACATTATTTGTTTAGGTAGATGACATGTCATCTATAGATTTATTTTTTGATCACCTTTAGTAACTTTAGTAACTGTAAAATCAAGTTCAAAGTTTTTGAAACAAAAAAAATCTATTTCTCTATTTTGGGTATGCTTTCTCCAAAAACAAATCTTAAAAACATCCCAAAAACCTAAATAAATCATTTTTAAGTATAAAAAACCATCTAGTGGCTTCAAAAATAAATTATCAACCAAATTTAAACAAAATTTACAAATCATGATCTACTTTTTTCTATCACGTTGGAAGGTAAAAGCCACTTTGATTGATTTTTTTTCTTTAAAATGAATCTATTAAAATTAAGATTGATCTTTTTTATGACTGGAATGTGGCTAATTGGATGTTTTCTCTCACTTTTCTTTATTTTTTCAATGATTTTTTCTTTTATCCCTTAACATCTAAAAATTAAAATACAAATAAAATAAAGTTTAGGACCCAAACCCCCCCCCCCCCCCCCCGAAGCCAACGACTCCATAGCTTGGGTGTTGAACACAAAAAACAAAGCTTAACACAAGCAACCAGTCAATCAATCTAACTATGCTACATTTGTTCTTCGCGGTGGCCTTCTCGGCGATGCCTTTGACTCTATACGTGCCGCCAATTCGATCTCTAAACCTCTTCGTGGAGACCATGGAGGATTTCTTTCGCCAGACATCCTTGTACACTGTCAGGGCTTATCCCAGGATTCGTGTTGTGTTTTCTAGTATCTTTCGCAATATTTTTGACTTGTTCAGGTAGACTCAGCCGCTCCCACTTGCTTGTTTCACCTCATCATTTTTGAGTTCTTTCTTCCTCTTCTTCTTTTGTTAAGTGTTTTTCCTTTCCTTTTCTTTTTTCTTGTTGTTTCTGTGTCTGATCCTGGAAATGACAGGATCTGATGTGGATGGAAAATAAACTGAACAAGGCTATATATTTTTCTGTCAATACTTTCTTTCGTTTTCCCATTGATCAATTCTGGAACCTGTGAATGTATTTTGCTGCAAGTAATATGCGATTATATAATTTGGGTCTCCTTTTCTTCCTCGTGATTCAAATATAAAGTATAATCTGTTAATTTTGCTACAATTTGGGTCTCTTTTAGGCTTGCCTTGTGAGTGATTTAAGCAACGAACCAAAAAGGGTTGCGAGCTGTGTGTTGCTTGCTGGGCTGTTCATACTTGGTGTCGGTAGTTAAGATTTTATTAGTTACATTTGCCAGTGATTGGCTGGGATCGAGATGCATAAATGTTCTTCTCAGCTTTTCACCAACATATTTATTACTATGTTAACTTAGGCTTGTCTGGATTTTGTTAGTCGTAGTTTTATGATTCATCAACCATTACTTGTTTATACTAGTTTCTATGTTTGTGGCTAGAAAAATTAAAGTGTATGTGTATATATATATTACTTGTTTAATTAGTTTGTAAAAATATTTTTGTTTAGAGTCGGACTGAAAATACTTTCAATCACATTATCAAACATTAACAATTTAAATACATTGGAACTTTTTTTTGTTTGTCAAAACTAGGTTTTAATTAAATGATTAATTTGCATAATAGAAATAAATGATAAATGAGAGGTACGAGAGTGAGACTCAGAGAACCATGTGATTCTGGATTAATAAGGTGCGCAGGGATTGGTGGTTGGCACTCACGGCCACTTTTTAGAACAAAATATATATATTATAATTTTATTGGAAACCTGGAGATGGAATTATAATTTTATTTTATTTTTACCAAAAAAAAGTTGGTTAACTTTGTTTAGAATGTTTTTAAATATATTTAAAAAAAAAATTAAAATAATTTTTTATTTTTAATATTAACACATTACAAAAATTAAATAATTAATTTAAAACTAAATAAAAAATATTTTAAAAAATATAAGTGTAGCACAATATAAAATGCTATATAAACATATACCATGCTTATTTTCTAAAAAATAATTTTTGAAAAACTATTTTTTAGATTTTTTTATATTTGTTTATCATTATAAAAGCAGATCAACAAAAATATTTTTTAGTTAAAAAAAAGCAGATCAACAAAAACATTTTTTAGTTAAAAAAATATTTGGTTTAGTTATAAAAAATTTTAAAATATCATATTTATTAGGTTTAGTTATAAAAAATTTAAAAATATCATATTAATTACTGATTATATTAAATTTGATCCTTAAACTTTTAATTATTATATATATTTTATTTTGAATTTTTATTTTTTAATTTCATCTTTTAAAATTTAATTTTTATATTAATATTGATCTTTTTTTTTATAGTTGTTGTTTGTTTTTTTCTTATAATTTTTTTATTGAAAATTTTTATATATCAAATTTGATTTTGATTGTTTTTTATTTTATTTGAAATAATTTATGAAATATTAATTATTATTATTTTAATTTCTTTATCTTTTAGCTTTTATTTTTTAAATTTGATTTCTATTATTTTAATTATTATTTATTTTATTTAAGATAATTTATAAAATATATTTTTTAATTTCATTCTCATTTAATTTTTTAATTTATAAGATTTATTTCTCATTATTTTAATAAACTTGAAAAAAATAAAATATTAATAAGTTATTTTCCAATTCATTTTTATTGAAATAACTAAACATTACTAAACATTAAAAAATAATTTACTTTTCTGTAATTTATTTTTCATAAAATTACTTTTTAACAAATAAATGAACTATAAAAAAAATTCTAAAATAAAAAATAAAAACAAAAGCAAATAAAAGAGTTTCATTTTGTTGAAATTGTCAAGTAAAATACAGCAGTTAAAAACTTTGACTCACGGGTGAGGAGATGACACAAGCGAACTTCAAATCTGCTTGTGCCCGTGCTTCACGTGACAACCCAAAACCTTGTGCTGTAGAAGAGTTTGTCTGAGAATAGTCATCCGCCACTGCAAATACAAGATGACCTTTGTGAGTTTATTTCTTGATAGAATTCTAACCAGTCCGAGCTAAGTGTTAAGAAATACAAGATGACCTTTGTGCACCCTCTGCTCCCGAATTCAAAATTAATAGAAATCTAAGCAGTCCGAGCTAGAGTCTGTCCACGACAAGATGCCCAGATCCTAAGCTCCAAGGAATCACTGGAATTTTCTTGAAGATCTGCATCCCCGGTAGACTCTGCCCTGCCAATCCGCTCCAAGAAATTCTCCCATTCATCTGAAGGAAAAAGGAGATTCTCGGCTATGAACAAAGGAGATTATCAGATGCCACTCATATAATATGGTAAAGAAAACCGATACTGTCAAAAATGGAAAGACAAATGAATATACTGAAGGGCTAGAACATTTTCATTAATACTAATATTCGCAACCCTAGTCCTGTTTAAAAATTCCTCAAGACAGAGAGGGAGCTGAGAGATATTTTACAGGGTAGATCAACAACAAAAAAAAGATATACCTGGAAAGATTTCCTCATTTCCCACCCGATAGAAAAGAATGGATATTCCATCCAGCAACTCAGAGGATAACATATGTTTATGCGCGATCTTGATTTGGGCAAGAGGCCAATCAATGAAAATAAATAAATAATGTTTATGTTTATATTTTTTAAGAAATATATTAAAATAATATTTTTTTTATTTTTAAAATTTATTTTTAAAATCAAATCTAAAGAGAATCATTTCGAAGTCAAATTTAGATGACTTGATAACTCAACTTGTTACTTATTTTAACCTAGTAAAATCTAAGGGAGATGCGACAGAGTCAGTTTCAATTCAAAATGATATATTTTAACCGGATTAGACCCTGAGTCCCTAGCAGGATCAGCCCTCGAGACTAGATGTTACAAAAAATTATTCCAATCTTTTAAACCAAACAATCAAATTAGGGTTTTACTCCTCCCTATCGGTTTTTTGTTTCTGGCTCTACTCTCTGTACACCCTCACACGGTAGGGTTCGCATTCTTTAAATTAGCTGAAACCCTAGTGTATGGTGAGTTTATTTATATTATGTGAAATTATTGTTTAATCACTATGACTTTTGTTGTTGTTGAATGTTGAAAAAGCAAGCTTGGATGGCTGACCCTTCTATCTCGGCTACGACACTTGCGTGGCATTGGGTAATTGAGTATCTGGCAAGTTTTCCTGAAATAGAGGCCTCGATTTTACAAGGTATGTGTACAGCATTCTCGAATTTATCCATTTTTTTTCCTTTATGTTCTCGCGTAAGAAACGCGAGTTGTATGCTTTGAAGTGAAATTTGGTGTAGGTGAGCTGTTTTGATTGGTTCTTTTGATGGGTGTTTGACGTGTTATGTTGTGTTCAATTTGTTCTAGATTTGATTGAGGCGGCTCCGAAAATACCTGAAGATTTGAGGAAAAACACGAGGGAAATGGTTGCTTTGAGATGCTTAGAGGATTTTTTTTGTCATAATAATGGAAGCACGAATGATTTTCCTTCTAAAGAAGCCAAAGTCACATTTGATTTGTCAGAGAGTTGTGAAGATGTACTTCAATCAATATTGCAAGAGGTGATTCTGTTTACAACTTCAGCTTTCACCTGTAAGCAATTTGGATATGAAGCAACAATTATAGCATAAAAACTTGTTATTCAAGTGGACTATATTTGAGATGTTTTGACATGGTTTCTTGTTTGTTAGACATCGGTATCAGATCTGAAAAGGGCTGGACCGGAGCGATTGAAATGGGATACTCGCCCTTTCATTATGCATAAAAGAGCTTCTATGCCTAAATGCGCTTTAGAAAAGGTAATCAAGGATTTCTTTATTTTGTTAAGTTCCTTGTAAAATAGAAATGTACATTGTTTATCCTCATTAGCTGTTTGTGGTTGCCTTTTTTTTGTTATTGGAAAGCAGGTGAAAGGTGCAATCCTTGAGGGTATTCATCCATATGCCTCATTGAAGGAATATAGTGGACTGGTGGATGCAAATGATTGGTGTAACAGAATCTCTGCAAATTATGGGGACCTTGGTGCACCCGCAGGGAGGATTGATGGACAAATTAATGCTCCTGAAGAAAATTCCATTCCTTTAAGAGGGATAGAAGTGGAAGGTGATTCATGTAACAGGACCTCATTACACTTGAAGAGGGATAGAAGTGGTTCGGCTAATGAAAATCTGGCTGGAGACCTTGAAGACCAAATTTGTGTTGATGATGGTGACCATCTTCATCCACAAGCCAAGAGGTTCAAGCAAGATGCCATATGTGGCTACCAGTCTTTGGAACACATTTCAACTCCTCAACAGCACATGGAAATGGTAGAGGATTCAATTCAAAGAGTGACTGGGGATTCTGAAAACAAAGATTGTCACATGGAAAAAAGAACTTCACAAGGTGGATTGGAAGAAAGCAGGTCTGTTGGGAATGGTCATGATGAATGTGTTGGTATGGATAGGCATGGGAAGAGTCTTGATCCTGATAATGCATTCCAGCATAATCAGCACGAGATTGCTCACAATGCCAACAAAATGTCACAAGATATATCTGGGGATGCACTCCACCTGTATAGCTTAGTGGATGAAATCAACTGTGCTGAACCTAGAATATCAAACACTGCACCATCTGTAGGAACCCCGAATAAATTCTTTGTTAATGAAAACAATGATAACTCTGATCATAGTGGTCAACTAAAACCATCAAATTCTTTGTGCCACCCTGATTCAACTGTTAGGACTAATCATATATATAATGGAGAAAAGGTCGGGGAGGAGATGGTTCGAGAGAACCCATCTGGAACTGGACTTGACAGAAACCAACACGAAGTTTGTGTTGATCCTATTGACAGTGATGTTGATCAATCGTGTAAAGAAAAAGATGTTTTCTCTGGAATCCAGAGTAGAGATGGACAAAGACAGAAAGCTGTTAGTGCCACCAACATCGACGGAGGGGAAACCTCTGATGATGAAAATGACAAGTCATCATCTTCTAATTACTTCATACAATTTCGAAACATAGAGAAACAATAGTAAGTTTCCAGTTATTCCAAGTGTTATGCGGGTGGTTATAGTGCTTCTGAATGCCATTTCCAGAACTAAAATAATTTCTACTTCTATTTTTTACTACCTTCAAACAATCTTTTCATGCTATGTCAACTTTTGCTATTATTGTTTTGTTGTGTGTGTCTGTGCAAATCACTTTGCTTCCTTGTTCAACCCCATCCTTGCTAATTGGCATTTGATTGCGGTGACAATCAGTGTTGTCAAGAGGCGCTCCAGGCGAGGCCCCAGTGCTTTTATTAGCCTCAGGCGTTGGATTTCAATGAAGCACCATCTAGGCGAGCGCCTTCTTGAAGTTCTTTTTCTGTTGGATTTTTCTTTTTCTTTTTCTAACTGATTTATGTTTTGACCTTCTTGTCCATTTTTTTTAACTGATATTTAATTTTGATTTTTAATCTATTTGGCTACTTATTACTTGAAACTATAATATTTTGTTTTAAGGGTGAAAAATATAACTTTATATGACTATGTTATGATATTTTATATTTTCTTTTGATTTTATAATTATCTAATTTTAATTGGGAAGGTATATATATTTTAGATTTATATAATATAATATAATATTACATTTTTTTTTAATTGATAGCATATCGTCTTGGTTCATTCGGGTGAGCGCATAGGCATGTGCCTAGCGCCTCAGGCATTTTACAAGCTTGGTGCCTTTTAGCACCTTTCACCTTTTACGCACTGTTGACAATTGTAATTGGCCTTGATGTTTATTCTGATCTGCAGTTCATACCCTGTAATGCCTCAGTTGAGGCGGAAAAAGTTTCCATGGACAGTTCAGGAGGAGGAGATGCTCAAGGTACTTGTTTCTTGCTTATTTGCTTCTGTCACCAATATTATTTCAATGATATGCTTTTAGGTAAAATGCATTTATAAGTATGCAAGGAGAGTGATTTTCTTGGTTGTGCATTATATATGCTTTTTTCTACAAGCGCAAATAATATAGTTTTGGCATTTAACTCTTCATTGTATACGCCTGTCAAACTTTAATTTCTTTCTCTTACTGTTACAGGAGGGAGTGCAGAAATTTTCAAGTGACGGAAAATTTCCATGGAAGGACATTTTGGAGTATGGTTGTTCTGTGTTTTTGAGTGGCCGTACAACAATAGACCTTAAGGATAAATGGAGGAACATGTGCAAAGCAAGCCCTAAATTCAAGTAAAACTTTGCTAGCCTCATCACTTTGCTTATATGGACACGTGTTCTCATATTTGGGTCTGCTCAGCCTCACTTTTTCGGCAGGATTCGTATTGATGATCAAAGAAACTTGCGTGCATTACGTTACACCTTGCTCTTTCCTGTATATAGTTAATGGTAAACCTGAGAGAAGCATGAAACTTGTTGGCTGGGTCATGAGCACACGTGATCAATATTGTGGAACGATCTGTGTTGTTATCACTGAACACATTGCATCCAATCTTAAGACATTACAGTTAAATTTTGCGTTTGTTAATGAATGGAATCGAATCTGTCTTCACAAGAAGACATACTTTAATCATCTCGTTGGATCACTTAACAGGGATCCTACATGAAACGAGGGCCGGAACGCTTCTCTTTTTTTCTCTTCTTCTACTCCCCTTGTCTTTTTTTTTTTTTTTTTTTTTAGACATTACAGTTAAATTTTGCGTTTGTTAATGAATGGAATCGAATCTGTCTTCACAAGAAGACATACTTTAATCATCTCGTTGGATCACTTAACAGGGATCCTACATGAAACGAGGGCCGGAACGCTTCTCTTTTTTTCTCTTCTTCTACTCCCCTTGTTTTTTTTTTTTTTTTTTGTGGGGATATCACTTCTGTCTTCTTGTTCTGTTGTAAGGGCCCAGAGCTCATTTTCATGAAGAGCTAATGCAATCAAATCATCAACTTGTTTGACAATTTGCAAGAATTGAACACATGACGCTTAAAACAGGTTTCTTTTCAGTGAACAAGGTTCTGGTGAAATATCTGAGATGACCTGCATTATGAATGGTCTCATTGCATTGTTTGCCATGTGAGCTATTTTCATTATAGATGCCTTCATATTTGCTTGGTCATTAGTTAAGTCATGGTAACTGTCGTGCAAGCATTAGAACCATGAGTGAAGAATGATAAAATCCACTCGTGACAGGAATAGGGCAAGTCGAAGAGCACAATCTACCTTACACGTGACATGTTTTGATACTTTGCAGAGCATTGGTAGCGACAGTTACTTAACTAGTACTTGACCCAAAAGACAAGAGAGGTTTTGACATGGGACAAAGGTGAGAGTCTCGGGAATCAGGTCGTCAAGGCAGGACAACATGTGAAATAGGGCACGTGAAAATGAAAAATGTTGAGGTGGGCTTGCTTCAAGTAAAAATCCAATTCTTGTAGAAACACTAATGTAGAATCCAAAGCAAATGAAGATTTTATTGGATGCGTCATCACTCCAAAGGCAGTCAAGCTGTTCATGACGCAATTCCAGTCACCACCACAACGCAATCTTATCATTCACTCTTGCTAAGTTTCTTCTGTTTGCGCAGACGGCTGAGTGCCAAGTTCAACAGCATTTGGTATCATTTGTCCTCGACACACACACATATTAGGTTTGGTAATCTTAAATGTATTTTTTTTCAGTGATAAGACAAATCGGAGATACTACTCATAAAAAAAATCTTTCAATGTGAACAAGTGAAGTGGGATCTATGTGCTGATGGTAAACTCGACTACTGCAATAATTTTTCGTCTCTGACGTTATAGTGTTAATTATCGAGACTACACAAGGAAATAGAAAAGTAACCAATTACTTCTTACAACTAGTTTACTTACAAGCAATTCCAATTTTTTTTTAAATCAACGGGCTTGTAATTTATTTTCACGAGTCGGTATAATGTGAAGGACAAGCTCCAGCAGCATTTACTTTCCTCCTGACTTTTAAAGTTCAACCACCCTGTGATTATAAGAGGGAATTTGGTTATGTAGCGTTGTCCAACATTTTGGGCAGGAAAGTCTAGGTATCCATTTTAACTTTTTTGCTTTTGTCAACTTATTCCAGCTCGTACAGCTTCGCTAACTTGGTTCCTTCCTGCACCATTAACTCGAGTATGGTAATCTCATTTTCCTTCCATCCATACAAGATGTGACGTGTTGTCATTAAAAGGTTTTTTAAAATAGAAAACGCCACCATCGAAATAATTTAAAAAAAGTCCAAGTTTTGAAATTATCTAACACTCACAAACGGTCACATGAGCAAGACCTCTTCCTCAGCGTGACAACTTTTAAACCAAAGCTCTTCTCTCACACTACATATCCCGCGCCTTTCTACCCGTTTTTTTGCACTCCCCAAGTCCCTACTCTCAGTCAAAACCCCCCCACTGAGCTTACTTTCACACCCTAAAAACTCTAATGGAGAATTGCGGAAAATATCCATTGAAGCCGTGGAAGAAAGGTCCAACAAGAGGCAAAGGTGGTCCTCAAAACGCCATGTGTGACTACCGAGGGGTCCGTCAAAGAACATGGGGCAAATGGGTGGCAGAAATAAGGGAACCCAAGAAGAGAGCAAGACTATGGTTGGGTTCTTTTGCTACGGCGGAAGAAGCTGCCATGGCCTACGATGAGGCTGCAAGGAGATTGTATGGACCAAGTGCTTATCTTAATCTACCCCACCTTCAGTCAAACTCTAGTCCTCCCAACAAATCACAGAAGTTCAAATGGATTCCTTCCAATAACTTCATCTCAACGTTTCCTTCTTGTGGGTTGCTTAATATTCATGCACAGCCTAGTGTTCATGTCATCCATCAGCGACTCCAAGAACTCAAGAACAACAGGCCCATCAATCAATCCTCTGTTGCTTCTAGCTCTTCTTCCTCTGAATCCAGAACTGAAGTTATTGTAGGTGATGAAAACCATGTTGCAAATGTTTCTGCAGCAGAGAAAGATGAGGAGATATCATCAGAGAAGATGCCGCTAACAAATCGTGACGAGAAACCACAGATTGATTTAAACGAGTTCCTTCAGCAGCTGGGCATACTGAAGGAAAAGAATCAGCCAGATAACAATGATGTCGATGAACATTTCATGGATCCAGAATCTTCACAAAAAGATCAAAACGAACTTACAGTCTTAGCAGAAAAGAGTTTCGATTGGGATTCACTAATTGAAATGCATGGGATTGCTGATCATCATGGGGAGGAATCTAATAGTTTCCCAGTTTATGACATCCAAAAAGAGCTGGCTTTCCCAACTTCCATTTGGAACTTCTAGGAGGATAAAATGATTTAGGAAGAATGAAAGCTAACTTTGCTGCCTACTTGTTTGGAACTAGGATGTTTGTTTTCACTTGATTAGGCCATACTGTAGTTGCTCTAGATCTACTGCCGTTGAATTGCTCTGTGATAGTAGTTAGTCATTTCCATTGGCAGCATAGATCAGAATAGAAAGCATTTGACCTTACCACAGAGAGAGCGAGGGAGAGGAGGAGGAGGATGCTTGCTGTATAAGTTATAGTAGCAAGAGTTGGGTAGAGGGAAGTTCACTGTTGCAATGATAGTAGCATTTCACCAGGTTTCTTTTTGACCCGTGGCTGATGTGAACTCTCATCAAATGTTTTGTTCAGCTGATTTTGGCTGCGCCAGGTTTATTAGTGCTTCTGTAATTTTGCTGGCTTTACAACATGGGGAATTCACAGGGAAGCATGTTACAAGATCATTGATAGACAAAATAATCTTGAGGCAGATTTTCCACATTCGCGGTTCTATGCTTTAGCAGACCTTCACAGTTTATTATAATAAATTGATTAACAAGCCCTCTCATTCTCTGTGCTCACATGCAGGATCAAACCTAAAAATATGTCTAACTTGTGAGGCAAGAGAAAAAACCAAATGAGCTTAGTAGTCAGGATTTTACCTGGACGTAAGGATCAGGCTGCTACTTGCTAACCAACAGTTGAACTGTGAAGGTCTGCTAGAACAAAGAACTAAACAATAAGCCACAAGAGAGAAAAAAAGAAGATATAAATGCTTCTCAGGCAGCACATCCCATATAAAATTATATGCGAATGCAGTCCTTCACAAAAATTCTCTTGCGAGGTTTTAGATAATTCCTCATTGATCATGACTGTTGTGAGAAGCCATTCTTTCATGCTTTCCTTTTCTCTTGATTTAACGAGACAGTTCAAACCCCAACTACACGCCTACATTTATTACAATTCCATGCCCATCACTTCATATGATGATAAAACTTTTCCTGTGTGTAGTTTAATTTATCAGAAAACCTGTCACCTACAGTGCAAAAGAATATCTGGACAAGAGATTTTTTTATCTATTTCAAAATTATAGTAAAAAATACAAAGTATAATCTTTTCCAGATAATTAGATGAATTAAAAGAAGCAAAATATGCTCTGATCAACTATCAGATTACTTTGATCCAAATACAAATAGTAAAAATACTTCCAAGTAATGTCTTCTAGCAAGCCATTTGATAATCTCCAACAGTTTAAAAATACCCTCTTCCCTAGCTATCTTTGATCATTCATTGAGGTACTCTGATGCACTTAGATACTCCCCGTGCTCCTCAAAATGATCAATTAATCGCTTTAAGAACCCATTACCACTCACTGTCTCTGTGTCACATACAAGACAACACTGTCTTCTTGCCCGTGTCACAGCCACATTCATTCGCCTGTGGTCACTCAAAAACCCCACCTGAAATGTTTTGGAAAAGTTTCCAAGTTTCAATAGCTAAAGATGCTATATAATCTTTATAACTGATCTTCATAATCTAAATCTAAAAGGAAACAAAAAGGCGGACTGAAGAGGCTTAAAATACCTCTTTCTTTGAGTTTGATCGAACCATTGAAATAATGATGGCTTCCTTCTCTCGACCCTGGAAACCATCCACTGTTGAGATTTCCAAATCCTTTAGCTTATCATCATTGTTTTTCAATATCTTGAGCAAGACAACCTGCAGTACCAGTGGCAGCATATATAAGGCCAAACTATCCCAGGGATTGAGAGAATGTGCATGGAACAGATTGTCGCTAGCCTAGGAGCTATTTATCTAGAAGCACATAACAAAAAGAAGTGCTCAAAAGATATACACTTCTATACCTGTGCTGAATAAGGAGTAATTATTCCAATGTCAGAAGCCTGGACTCCGCTCTGAACAAGTCTCTTTGCATGGGCCACTGCAACTTCAGCTTCTCCCTCATTCATTGTGCTATCTTCTTCATCCTTCTTTTCCTCCATATCACACCTGGATCAGAGAAGTGTTAAGTGTGAACCAATTATAATCTAATTTAAAGGAAAAGGAAGAGGAAGAGGAAAAGGGAAAAAAAGATTCCCAGCATAGAAGGCCTCCTGATATCATCTGGGAATAAAATCCAATCTATTCACTTCTCCTGATACTCCAACTGTTTCCAGCTCTGATTTGATTTGAAATTTATTTTCACTCAGAAATAAATAAATCTTTTAATATTTCATTTAAAAGGAGTAAGTTCTTTTTTCTTAAAGCATTTTAAAGATACAGGCAATTTCATGTGCACTGACCACCTCTCAGAAAAACAAAGACTATTTAGCATTTTGCAACAATATACTACATACACAGCTATGTCATCTGGGAACAAATCCAATCTAATTCACTTCTCCTGATACTTCAACTGTTTCCAGCTCTGATTTGATTTGAAATTTATTTTCACTCAGAAATAAATAAATCTTCTAATATTTCAATTAAAAGGAGTAAGTTCTATTTTTTTTAAAGCATTTTAAAGATACAGGCAATTTCACGTGCACTGACCACCACTAAGAAAACAAAGAATATTTAACATATTGCAAAAATATACTGCGTACCCAGCTATGTCTACAAGAAGAAGGGTTGGTTCTGTAGAAGAGGATCTCTTGACACCCTCAAGATCAAAAAGCATATGTGCACCAACACTCGGATGGGCTTTGATCTATAATAAACATCATAGACCCAAAAAAAGATGATGAGCACTGTTATACAATCACAACAATTTTGGTATATTTACTAATAATTTTATCATGCAGCCAAAACCTAATGATGATCTGAGCACCTTACTGTTGTAAAGCTCTTTAGATGACCAGTTCATAATTAGTTCATGCATGCGGTACTGGACAGTGAGCATAGAAGTGACTTCATCTCCATACAGATCCGTGAGGCGTTCAAAGAGGGTTCTTCCCAACCCTTTCTTCTCAGCTTCAACACTTTGGATGGTTGGAGGAAGCTGAAGATGGTCTCCTGCAAGTATACACCTTGAACCCTGAAGAAATGATCACATGTCATTTAGTGGTGGTTATAATGTTAATACCAGCCAGCTTTAAATGTTAGATTGGACTAGGATATAATTTGATCATGTCCATTGACTTCTGTTCTAAAGATTTCACCCCATTTTATATCATGCCTTTGAAAACCTTGTATTCTTTACAAACCATGTAAAGATAATAACGAATTGCCATGGTGGGAGATAACCAGCCCCATCAAGATCTTGAAGACTTAAAGACCTATTTGACTCTGAATAATGGAAGTCTAAAGGCAATTTCCATGCCCTTTTGTGTAGGACACGTGTGTGTGCATGTGCGTGTGTGGGGGGTGGCCGGGGCGGGGTATTTTCTATACAAGGGCTCTACTCAACTAATGGGACTTGGGCGGCCATAGGAAACTTGGTGAAAGTGTGTGTGCATGTTTAGCAAATGTTCAATTCCTGCATGGCCAGGTTTCACTGAAAGTGCAAATACAAGTTTTTGAGCTTATGATGTGCAGATAATTGTAGTAATATTGTACCTTCAGTAAAGCAAGCCAGCAAGTTATCTCAAGTGCCTGAGCAGCTTCATCAATAATCACCAAATCAAATGAGGTAGTATTCAGCTTGTGAGAAAATGCACCAGTCAAAGTTGTCAACACCACATCTGCATTTTTAATTACATCTATCACAGCCAACTGCTGCCTTTTACGTTCTTCTTTTGAAAGAGTCCTGAGTTCCTTCTGTATGTCTCTTCTTGTGCTTTTATCTTTGGTTTTCAACAATTTTCCATTTAATGCCTGAATAAATGCAGAGGAGATATATTAGGGGAATATGAGGCACTTCACTAAATTATGGAAGCACAAAAAAAGCTTACACTTGAACAAAGGGAGGGAGGTTACCATACTTATTTTTAAGGGCTTTTTTTTCCCTTTTCCTTTCTGGTAGTAATTCTTGATATTTTAGTTTTGTATTATTACACAATCCTTCAGAAAGTTATAGCTACTGCCAACCACTACTTTAGACTGCAGCAAAGGATTACATTCCTTTCTTTGTTTTTGGTTTTTTTCTTTTTTAAAAAAAAAAGGAAAAAAGTTCCTTGCCTAGTACTACTCTTGTATATATATGTGTGTGTGTGTGTGTGTGTGTGAATTAGGATGCATCTACACAAGGTTGCTGAGGACATCTGTAGCCTTCCCATTTGCATCGAAGGATTATGCACTAGCAAGAATCACATCTATTCCCATTCAACATCTATGATATTTTAATGCAACGCTATAAAAGTTCTAGCTCAAATACAACCTTGCAGTAGAAGTATTTTCTTCACATCTAATTAAATACATTAAACTACAGGTTTTATGTGCAAGGCATTAGAGCTAAAATAATTCAGCTTCGTGGGTGAGAGTATTATATTCTATTGAAATAGGAGTAAATTGTGTCCACATTCGAAATTATTTTCATAAGAAAAAACAAAGTTGTGTCATTCTTATTAAACAAAACAGGAAAAAACCAGTTTTTTCAAATAGTTTGTGACTAGGCTTAGTTGGATTGGTTGAGTTCAACTCTTAAAGAGATCACTTTAAATAGCCTTCAACTTTTTCACTCTTCACCGGGAAAACCCTCTACATTTAACTTGATGAATGAATACTTCAATTATTCATCCCCTTTTCTAGTCTAAATACCTTGGCTTCAAAGCTGCCATGACTCTTGTCATCTAACATGCAAGGCCTCAAAAAACTATCACAACAAAACGAATGCAGACTACCTTTCTGCTTTAAAATCAAAATTTGTTTCTGCAAATTATAATGACTTGCGTCCTGTGGGAAGGATTAATTGTATAAACACAGGAAACAAACCATCTATTTCCTGAAATAGCAAATAAAGATATATTTGGAAGAGCAAGTTATGATCTGAATCTCTACCTTCATTTCCTTCCGAATGTCATTTGCAAGAGCACTGTTGTCCCCCCGTAGAACCTGACAGGGATAAGAAAAACATGATAACTCAAATGTAAGGAAGTAGTATGTTAAAAAAATCATTGTGCATCAAGAGTGCTCTATCCACTTTGGAAGAAATTGGGGTAAATAAAGGAACTTCCTTCCTCATTATCATATCCACAAATAGAAAACATGGAGGCAGGTTTGTGTATTGATAAATGGCAAAAAGGTATTACATTCATATGCAATAAAAAATGCTAACTGCATAGATGTTGATAAATGACAACTGATTAAGCAAGAAATAAGTGCGAACATTAAGTTCAGTTCCTTGAAGAAAGCAAACAAAAATAAAGATAGCTATCCCCATAAGCTACCACAAGAATCCTAGAGACAATCCCAAAACCCAGCATTTTGTAATGTACAAATATGAATTCAATAAGTGAACAACCTGAATGAAAGAGCACATGCATCTCAAGTAGATGATCATGGAGATAAGAACCTCAAATTCAGTTTTTCTTATTTTTTTATTTCCAAATATCAAATATCTTAGTATACCTGTGCATCGAGTGCACTGTCCAGTACTTGAGGTAGCAAGCGTGCAGGATGCCCCAATCTCACTAACTTTACTCTGATAAGGGAACGGAAAATGAGAATGAGAAATTTTTGTAATACTTACCCATGATGACACTACTGAACAATCAGCACA